TCGCCGCAAGGCCAAGGTTCCATCGCAAATAGGATTTCCTACTTTGCTCTAATAATAAGAGGATCGCTTCCCGCGTTACGCTGATCGATTGCACTTCATCCGACACCGAGTTAGTGTTTGTGCTGTCTATTATTAAAACGTCGAAGTCAATTTAACGCGAATCGTAGCAGCTTTCTCCCGCGAGATGTCTTCGTTACCGTTTATTGCCTCGCGGCCGAGAGAAACCGCTTGGGATATCACGCTTATTGTCTCCTGCAATCAACAATCCCGAGCATTTTTAGTAATCTCTCTTTAATGCAACGTCATTCGTCGCACATTTGGAACCTAAATGAGACGAGTTGATTAAATTCGTTATCTTCGGCCGCCGAGAGCTCCAATTCTTCTGACGGGATGTCAGGCGGACTGAAAAACGTATAATTACATTTTCAGGACGAACGCATCTGGGTCATGTTGAATTATAAAGTATTTACCCCAAAGACTTACAGAAACTCCCGTGATCGTCGTATTAAGCGACGAATTTCGAAATCAGACGTGTTCGAGATAGTGTCTCGGAACCGGTAGCGCTTCTCGTCCTCGAACCGGATCGTCGGTGATCCCGACCGCGACGATTTCAATTCTAAAATGACCCAGATATTATTTTCGGCTCTGCCGGATTCCGGCGCTGCTTCGCGCTTTTATCTTCTGATAACGCGCTCGCGCTCGCGCGCGCCACCGCGACCGCTGGTTTCTTCAAAAGATATTGGCTTAATACATTTCATCAACAGTGACCTTAATCGAGACGGTTTTGCAACGAGCGCCTTCCCGTGCTAGGACGTTGCGCGTCGCCATCTGAAACGAGCGCTGAAAGAATTCATTCCAGCGTGTGCGCGCTGTGTTGCATGCACTGCTACGTAAGTGCATCCTGGCCCGTCACCGCTTAAAACTAAAAATACGACTGGCGCCGTCCGCGCCGTTCATTCCGCTCCGCGCTTCCCTAGGGACACAAAGGATACTGTCTGACACCACTTCGGGGTAACAAGGTCGGGTTCTACCTATTCGGTCTTCTTGTCCCATTGTTGAGAGGAGTTCCTGAAAGACGCTTGAGGTAACAATTGTTCTCGGTGAACTTGCGGTTGAAACTGAATCGTTTGTAGTTATTTCCTCATTTAGCCACTTCAATCTACTCGAATCGATTATTGTTATACCATTATATACTATATATACTGCATACGCTGCTATACTATTACACGATAGGATCTGTTATAATTAATGTTGTACCATAACGCAGTTTATCGCAGGATACCTAATTCTCATAGAATTCTACAAATTCAAGATTTAACACGTCGACTGCCATGAAAAACAGTATGTATTATTCTCTCTGTAGCAAAGATAAAGAAGAATGATTAGCTATTTGTTATCTCAATTCTTTCGTTACGCCATTATCTGGTGAGCTCCGTGGCAGTCAACGCGTTGTCTTAATTAAATACAATAGCGATAGGAATAAGGGTCGCAGATCCCTAAACCAGAAAATCGAACAGTTCCCTTTAACGTCCAACGAAACGTCACAAGTTTAACTAATAGTAGGATCATTGCCTGAATAACCGAGTACCGGAATACAGGAATCGCGCGATCGTTTGATCCGCGGTCACCTAGAAAAACCGAGAACACCCAATCCGGAACAATCGATCGCTCATTGTCGGCCGACAATGAGCCGAGCAGACGCGCCTTCCGCAAACAGAGGTCGCAGCCAGTGATCCGTTACTGGTGCGTCGCGGGCACGCGGAAAAGCTGCGGAAGGAACGCCAGTTGCCGATCGCCGGATCGGACGTGTTCGTGAAACAGCGGCTGGAACGGGGAGCGCATGGGGTGAACTGCATCCCGTCGTCGGTTGCGTTCCACGAAATCCTATGAAATATTGTTATGCGCGGTGCAAAGAAGGTCACCGGTCGGCCCTGACACTGTTTTCACTAGGAAGCGCGCCGCTCCGAATTAATATTGCTTGACATTGCCTGACCAATAAAGCCGAACCGCAGGGAAACGTAATTGCGGCGACCTTCCGTGGCGACCGGGGAACCTCGACGAACGAACGACCGATCCTACCATTCGCGGACGCGCGGGTTCAACCGGCGCGCCGCGCGATGAATGGCCGCGCCGGACAATGCCGTTTGCCAACCGGGCCCGCGTGACGATACTCGATGTTACGCGGTACGTGAATTGCCTTCGCCCATTGTTGGGGGCCAACGTGAAAACATTCACGGCGACGTTAGCTCTCTGTAGGCCTATGCGACTTTGAACTCACGTATCAGTGTATCGGCATCTTTTTGATTTGTCTCATTTTGCACTCGAAGTGGTGAATGAAATTAAGTAACCTGTTGACTTCAACTTTTATATGCTCAGGCGTGAAAGTTTATTTGTTCGATGAAATTATTGGAACTATTGAATACATTGTTAATTCGTATTCATATGTGGATATTTATTAATTTTGTGCTGCATAGATTTTGGTATGATTATGAACAAAAATTCGGCCCATAGAGGGTTCACTTGGTAAGTGGGGAAACGAGTGAACTGTCGGAGTTCGGTTCACTTTCGGGTGACTTCTTTCTTCTATTCTTTGATTAACCTGTTCACACATGGTAACATGTTGTGTTATAGTAAGATTTATGATAGAAGATAATAGTATTGGAAATGATTATTAATGTTTTGGTATTACAGTATTTATATTACACTATTATCTAGCTTCCTGTGTTACTAAATACTCCGATTCAATGTCAATTTTCTTATTATAATTGTTTTCAAGTAATTAAGAGGTCACCGGTGATTATTATAGCAGTGAACGTGTTAATCTTCATCGCAGGTGTAGTATTTGTAAAGGATAAAATCGTAAGTGTTGACGATAGCGTGTTTGATATAGTAATTGATTGAGATAATGAGGGAATATTGGTAAGATAAAGGATGGATTTCGATAGAATCAAGTTAATTAGTTTGATAGGTAATGAACCGTGGAATAAAAAGTTTCGATTACATTGTTCACGTTGTTTGTCGATGTTGATTTGCATATTTTTGCGTGAACTGACGATATCGATAAGCTAGAGTCGGCGCCGTAAACGGTTCATTTGTAAAGGACACGGACGGAGTACGGTACAATTTATCCAGCGTGTCCGTGGCTCGACCTTTGTTAACCGTGGAAAACTCGCGTGAAGCAAAATAACGCGTCCACGTGTCCGTCACGAAAACCGCACGCTAATTGAACGCCTCTCCGCGGAACGGAATTAAGAAAGATTACCGGTGTCGTCTTCACACGCGTTTCCTGCGCTCCGCGAATCGTGAGATACATCCTGGAACGAATTTCAGCTCACGGCCAGCGTCTACGTAGAATTCTCGAAAAGGATCGCGGCCGAATCGTGCCATGAAACTCGTTAGTTCGGAGCGCTACCACGAAATCAAACGTAATTCGTCTTAACGACCGTTCTGGATTTCAGATTGCCGGATTGGAAGGAAAAGATTATTTTCTGGCTGACGATACTGTTTTATATATTATTTTCTATGAAGTCAAATTATAATTCAAGTTCAAAGTCGAATTCAAATTCGAATTCAACTTCAACTTCAACTTCAACTTTAAACTTAAATTCAAATTCAAATTCAAATACAAATTCAAATACAAATACAAATTCAACTTCAGCTTCAACTTTAAACTCAAATTCAAATTCAAACACAAATTCAACTACAACTTCAACTTTAAACTCAAACTCAAATTCAAATTTAACTCCAACTTCAACTTCAATTTAAACTTCAACTTTAAACTCAAGTTCAAATTTAAATTCAAATTCAAATCGATGGAGTTAATAGTTTAACGAAATTTCAACTCAGAACACTCACAACTCATAACTAATAAACTTACTGGTATACATAATTTTCATGATTAATTTCATCGTCGAAGATTCACTAATATTTGCATTCCTTCGCCTTCCATTTCGAACATTTCTCCTCTTAACCGTACGATCTAGACCATTATGCGATTGGAACGGTACAGCTGCGCAGAAATTGCTAACCATTATTAAAAATTAATGCGACGCGCATTAACGTAATCGAATAGGAAGCTTGTGAAACACGGGGCAACGAGAGGTCCAAGATGGAAGGGAGGCAACTGCGTGGGCGCGTGACTATTTCCAACGGGTGAAACAATACGCTGATCGATTCGTGGTACTTCGGCAGTCAATTAGATTTAATTAAAAACCCATTGAAGGACGGACGTCAATCAAGACTGCTTATGTACTGGACACTCGGCAAATGAAATATTGGCTAATAGAGTGTCAATGACTACCCTTCGGGAAAAGTGAAATCGTTCAAAGGTTTCCGTCGCGTTACACAAAGCGATGTTGAAATAACACAACTAACAAATACAAATATACAACGTGTTTTCACGAATTTGAAATTTAAAACGCCTGTTTTGCAAACATAATCATAAAATATGCTTGGCGTAGATAGAAACGTACGCTTGAAGAAAGATTTTCATATATCATTTATCTTCAAATTATCTACTTAGTAATCTTTATCTCTTCAAGTCATGTTTAAGATATCTCGTCATCCATATTTAAAAAAGTTCACTCTACGATAAAATTAACATCCATAACCTTCATTTCTAACATGTCAGCTACCATGATTACCAACTTTCGAATTGCTCGAGAATAATTAAGATTTATCAACTAACAATGCAACGACCTGTAACACCGAATTACTATCATACGCATATCTCCGCGCTAAGAAACCCAGTAACATTATCTAAAAGCTTAAAATTCTTCTTCTACAAGAAGAACCCCTTTGGTATAGCAATAACGAAGCCAAAAGGGAGCGACAGAGAATCGCACGGACGGAATCGGCCGGCTCGGCGGTCGAGGGCCGACTGCCACCGGTCCGTTCCGTTGGAACGCTTCGGGGGCAGAGTGCGCGAGCGGAATGCTGGGTTCCCGAGCGGAGCCGAAGCGAGCGAGGCGCTCGGGCCGCGGCGACGCCGTATAACTCGCTGATTTCGTCTGGAGCTTATTTATTTCGAACCTGAAACTCGCCGCGGCATCCACGTGCCACGATCGCAGCTGCGATCAGTCAAGTCAAGTAAAGTCAGTCGGTCTCCCAGCGATACACGATCGATCGTGTTGCGGCCGACACACGTGCACGCATCAAAGAGGCGATACGAAGAGGAGAAAGTAAAACGATCCGCTTCGATATTCCAAAAAACAAGCACGAAAATAAAAGGACACACGAGTAGACGTTCTATCGAAGTGGCTTCTCATTCATCTTCGGCAGCGTTCGGTGCATCGGCCAGATTTCCCGACTTTTTAACGATCATTGCCGATTTTCCACTTCCGCACGCGTTTAAAGGAGTGCTGATCCAGTTCCGCTGGAGACAGAAGAACAGCGGGTCCGACGTTCATTTCGACGATGACCGACTGCGATCGCAGACCAGGATCGACGCTGTGATCTGTGCTGTTTTGTGATAACGAGGTTTATTCTCAGGAGTCCCAGGTTCCCGATCTATTTCCTTGGGGAACAAACGGTACAGGTGAGTTTCGAAAATGGCGCGCTTTTGACGGATGTTCGTTAGAATTCCCCATTCAACCCTTCGCGGACGAAGATTCTTCTAAATATATTAATCCAGCTGAAGTTAAATTATATATCGATTGCTTAAATAATAGAAAGAAAGGAAATTATACGCTAATTGCTGTTCGAGTAATTGAATCATTTATTCGCGACTTTCCAAATATGGACGTTTGATCTCGCCGAAATGTCGACATTCGTCCGCAAAGGGTTAAAGATCGTTATCCTTCGTTTTCCAATGAACCGAGGAATCGTCGATCGATTGCGTATCGTTCGGATCACCTGGAAGTTCCGTTTTCGACGGACTTTCCGTGTTTACCGTCGCGGTTTCTTCACCGTCGACGCGACGCTCGCGCCCCTGCTTCGCGTTGCTAACGTCAGACTCTCGAGGATCGTGTTTCTGTTTTCGATTGGCGAGATGACGGGTTATGTCTGCGGATTGTAGAATAGAACGTTATTAATAGGCTCCGCGTGTTGTTCCATGAGAATGACGATTAAGCGTATCGTCGCGCGTTATCTATTAACAGGGAGCAACGAGCCAGCTCATTATATGTATTTTATCGTAATCGGTTAATTATTATATTTTGTCGAACTGCACTGCCAGTGTAAGTCATGTCGCATCCGCGTTTATCCTTGTAGAATGTTAATCATTTCGTTCGCCTCCAGTTACGCTTTCCTGTATGCTCTGAATATCTTAAAACCACGGTGTCTTCCACGATAACAACATTCCTTTCACGCAGGCGCTTAAAACAGTGTTACAGTAATAATTTCACGGTTCGAATGATCGAACAACCAATATCCCAGTAGCGCCAGCTATTGTCTTTACTTAATCCATTCGATTCAACCTTTCGATTCTCATTTCGTAATAACTCGAATCCCAGCTGATTATTTGTTTTAACACGTTGAATGCCGCACGATTGCATAATACAAAATACAATATTAAATCATTCGATTGAATTGCATTGTTGTTATTGCAGGTTCATCCGGCTGAATGTCACCACATTAGCTAGCATTATTTATAATATAATTTATAATGTAATTCTATTTGTGGGTCACCGGTGACCCCGTGGCATTCAACGTGTTAATAATAATTCTGATGGATAAATTAAACAGCAGGACAGGGTTAAATAGAGAACACCTCTCTAAATTGCACCCGTTAGTGTCCATCGCTAATTAACACTAGAATCAGCTTAAAATTGCCCATCCTCATCGCTTTCTTCAAAATAATTAAAAAGACTCAGTTTTACTTGGAAACCACCAAATCCCTTGATGTAATACACCGACCAAAATACAATTCATGCAAAAAGGATAAAGGAAAATCAATCCCGCCGCTCCGTAGTTGTTTTAATCGGCTCCGAAAACTCGTTTCCGTGAAACGACCGATGAGTCACTGCCACCGCCGCCTCTCGCGTGTCTCCCGTCTAGCATCCCCCGAGTCGTTGATCGCGAAAAGGACCGGCACGACCGCGAAACGCTGCTCGAACTCGGTTATCGTGGAAACGGATCGCGTGACCGGCCAACTTCCCGACAATGCAGTCGCGGCAGAGGCAAACGAACGCCGCGGGATGGGAGTCTCAGGCCTAGAAACGCGTCGGAGGAAAACAGACGTTGTCGCCGGAAGTCCGTGCGCAGCGAGATAAACCGCGCAACTGCGAGACGCGAGAGCCACGGCCGCGATAACCGACGGGAAGTCGTTCGCTGCCGGGAAAACTTGACCGACCGCCGCGGCGAAAGCATCGCGAGCGATGAGTCCGTGGAATTAGGCTGTAAGAAAGACACTAAAGTAGCTGATCCTTTTCCTTAATCGGTTAACTGTGGAATTTAGATGGAAAGACCTCTCGTTCTGCGCGCGATAAAATCGAAATGGAGCGTGTACTCGTCGAATACAGGACGAATGCACGTAGAGTGTATTTTGATGAAAGATCGAAGCGAAATAAAGAAGTACATGTTTATGTAAAAAAATAAATTTACGATGACGAAGGTGGTCTTGAACCAAATCAAATTTAATGTGTTAAGTTTGAGCTCTCTAGTAGCTAAGAGGATAGTACAGAACATTTGGATTATATTCTGTAGTTTTCGTTTTTAACCCTTTGCACTCGGAAGCTTTCTAGAAACACACTTTCTACTGTTTGAAACGAAGTAATGAGAAAACATACGCAAATTAATAAACAAAGCTATTTTATACAAATATATCACATATCGATGCATTACACGAAACTCAATATTATATCTAACACTTTGTAATTTTGTTGTATTAACCCTTTGCGGTCCGAAGTGCTCTTGGTTTCTCACTTTGAGGTTCGCGTCGTTAGTTCATTCAATTACAGCTTAATATGACGCTCTATTTATTTATTCAAGAATATTTGGGAGTCGTTGGAATGTTATCTTTAAAACAGGTAGAGGTCGCAATAAAATAGAATGTCGAGTCTAACTCGACATAGGACTGCTAAGGGTTAAATCCAACGGTGACAGAGTCATCTCTTGAGTTAAGGGTTGATTATACTTATTAGAGATATTTCGGTACATTGTTAATATTTCTTTACATTTCTTGATAATCTAGGGTATACATGGTGTATAGTTATTGACTGTTGGAGTGCATTCCTCGGACAGGCTCTTTTTCCAGACGCCTATTACGGGCAGCGGAAAGTGGGTTATTGGAAGAATAATCCAATAATATATAATATTCTTTACCGAGGAATGCGCCGCGGGGACTGACGGTGTTCCTAGATCGCGAAACGCTCGCAAGGACATGGTTTTAATGCAATTAGCGTCTGATTCGCTCCGGGCTACGCGATATCTCGGCCTTTCCTGCTTAACGTTTGCGCCTGGTAACGAGACACCCTGTTTTAGATGTTTCTCCATCGACCGTGGCCAAAGGAAAATATTACGCGCCACTCGACTCGGATAATTCTTTATTTCGCGTGTATGCGTCATGATTTGCGTCATGCGTATATTACACTTCGGATTATTTCTATATGATCTGAATTTGTTTGTCATTCAGTATACCGGCAAATCACTGGTTACAAAATAGCGATAAACAAATCATACGATAAACTTTCCGTAGAAACTGAAACGAAAGGAAGGATGAACATTGGAAAATTAATCAGACAATATGGGAATTGATATAATTAACACGTTGCCGCATGATTTCAGCAAAATGCACAGAATGAAAACAATGTAATATGGAACTTCATTGAAACGTTTTATTATCGCACGTTTATCTTTTCGAATATTATCTCATTAGATAGCATTATTTTGTAATATCAAAATATTTAAGATAATGATCAATTATAATTCGATTTGGCCGGGGGTCACCGGCGACCCCCACGGCATTCATCGTGTTGAACAAAAGAAAACGCAGAATTTGAAATCCGGGGATTTGATTGGTTCCCAGTTGGGTTAGCGTTAAATGGCGGAAAACTCCATCGAAATCTGTTTCGCGTGCAGCTGATCGCGCGATATTTGTTTCGTAAGATCGCCCACGTACGCGCCGTCAGAGCAATGATAACGACAGCCCAGCGTTCCGCAATTTCAGCAATTTGATTTCACTTATTCGATAAAGATATAATGCCATTAGCGTGCGGGGTAGGGATTTCGCGTGTCGCTGTCATGATTAAATTACACGTAGGCTCGGAAACGGTGTTTCCTAGCATTATGCAAATCGCCGGCGCACGAATCAGACTTACAAATATGTGCTCCGGTGAGAAATATTTTGTCCGCGTTATAATTAAATGAATCAACACACAATGTTCATTCAATTAATGCAAATTCCGCGGTACCGCAAAAAGTTCTTCGCCGCTCGGTACTTAAGAAATTATTCAGTATGAGAATAAATTGCAGAAGTAAACAGTAACGGACTCGAGGAATTCCATTTACCGGGGAAGCGCGAACAGGCTGGGGCCCATTAAAAATTATAATTACGTTTTTCTGTCGTGTCTCTCGAAAGCCGCGAACGTCGCAAGGTAAATTTACCGATCGCCATTGCGAATACCAAGTGCGCCCCCGTATATTCAGCATGATGTACGAAGAGGACATATAAAAGCATTTTTAAACAATTTTTATTATTAACACTAGATTTACTGACATTCACTGTACAGTTTGTTCTATTGTTCTTAGAGGAATTATCCGTTCATTTAGATCTTAGAAATTAGAGGTTTAACCCTTTGACGAAGATTCTCTGAAATGCACAAAATCCTCAACAGATGAAGCTAAATTATATATTAATTACTTGAACAATAGAAAAATAGGAAACTACGTGATGTTCTCTTGCTATTCGAGTAATTAAATCATCTGTTTATGTCTTAGTCTTCCAAATATGAAAATTTCATCTCGTCGAAATGACATCCGTCCGCAAAAGGTTACGAGTAGACAATTAGGATATTTGCATAACTGCGTTAATAGAAGTCGACCCAAATATTTACCGAATAATACTTATAAAATTCAATATGAGTCAAATTGACTCGTTCCGTAAATCTGGTGTTTGAAGAATTTATATTGGAATAAAATCGTTGTTTCCTGGATTACCATTTTATAAATTTGTTCTTAAGTCATTGTTTCGATGGAAATCGATCACTAACTTCTAAGAAAATAAAAGAAGAAAATTAATTACCGTGAATCGATAAAATTTATAGTAATAGTGATCATTTTTCGTTGCCTGTGCATTTATATGCATACAGATTAGACGCGATGAGAGATTCATCGTGTTCTGATAATGAAATGGTCAAATCCAATTCCGATTTTGAATTCGAGAGGCGCCGTCAAAGTCAACGATAGAGTCTCCGTCCAGGAGGGGATGGCTCGTGGCCGATTAGTCTGTGAAACCAGCTGGCGATAGTGCACGTGACCGGATTATTTATCGAAACGGCGCACAGTGATCTTAACCGAGGAATTTATCGAAATCTTGGCAAAGTGTCAACTCCCATAGACCCCGAGAATAACGAAATAATTAAAATATAAAATCACAATTGAATTAAACACTTGAAGTTCCAAATTCCTCAAAAAACATTCGAATCACTAACCATCTTCCTCCAATTTCTTCAGATCGGCAATAATTCGATCTACACATTCAAATCACCAATACCAACGCAGATTCCAAACAAGTGCAACACTCCATGAATACTAAAAAAAATCACGCGACAGCCAACGCTATAATAAAACAGAAATAAATTTCAATTCATCTTCGAAGTTCGAAAGACAACCTTGCAGCAGCTACAATCAAATACCCATTCATATCAATTCCAATCTCCCACTGGCGCATCAAACAAAATTTCACTTCCCCTTAACCGTCCTCCACAATCAAAACCGAACATTCCCCATCCACAGTTCCAAACGCTCGAAAAACGCCACTAAACTTAATCGACCGTCTCCCTGATCACGATTCCCGTCATTGCAGTCCGACGCGGCTCACACGGAATTCGCATGTCTAATCGCAGCGCGTCTGCTTCTATTCCAACAGTGTCACCGAGCGAACTCTGCGTAACACCGACCGATTTCTCGGAGAAAAGCGGCGGCGAGGAAACCCGTCGATTCGATCGAGCCCGATCGACTCGCAGGAAAGAAGCGCCGGATCCGCGGGAGGGACCGAGGACGCGTCGTTCCACGAAGCGCGCGCGATTCCATTGGATAGCGGCGATAAAAGCCGGCGATCGGATAAGATCAAACGAGCGGAGAGTGGGGAGCCCGGGCAGAAAAGGGAGTGAAAACAGCGGGCGAGCCGATTGTGCCTGATCGCGCACACGGTGAACCGACGCGTCGCGCACGGGCTACTCGCGCGAGGAAAGCGACCAAGAATTCGGAATCGTTCCGCGAGAGGGCGAGCGAGCGAAGAGAGAAAGAAGTTTCTCGAAGCTTGGCCGATACCGAGACTGCCGGTGCCTCTGGTTCACGCCGCCGCGTTCAAAGGGGCGAGCAGGGAAAGAGAAGCAGAAGAGAGGGGTTCACCGGAGCAGCAAGGGCATCCCCGCGAGTCCGAGTTGAACTGTGTTCAGATAGGTCGTGACTCGTGTGACGCAACTCGCAATCGACCCATTCAATTTCAGCGAACCGATCGGACCGGGCACTCCAACGGCCGGTCCCGTATTTTCGCCGGCGAATCGCTTCAAGATAAATCACCGCGCTATTAATAACCACCGCGTCCTGTTCTCTGGGAGCCTCGATCTCGCGTGGGAAGGGGTCCTTGAAACTCGAATTTCGAGATCGCCGGAAAAAGTCGGGAAAGAAACACCGACAACGGAGCAAGAAACCGAGTTTTTCCTGCGAAACGTTTCTTGCCGATCGAACGCGGTCACGCGTGATAGCCGGGTCGCCGGAAGCCCTTAGTCCGGCGAGGAAGCGTAGCTCCGTGACGAGAGAAGTTTCTCGAAGCCGCTGAAACCGCTAGGCAGCTGCTCGAAAAGGAGAAGCCGGCGTAGGACGCGGAGACCGATCGGAGTGCGTCATCCGAAGAGCGCGAAGGAGAGGACGCGCGACGCGGAACGGATTTAGGCCCGTTTGCTCCGTTTAGGGCCGGCGTCGTCGCTGGACGAGAGAACGATCGGGAGCGAGAGGGGAAATCGGTGCGACGAGGGGAACGAGCCTAGTCGCTTGGACCAAAGGACGAAGAGGATTCCGGTTGGCGAGGATAAGGCTAGCGTGAGAATAGAAAGGGTCTGTTGTTCGGATTGATCTCGCACAGTTGATCCGGCGAAATGTCGAAGAGCAAGAAGTCCCTGTCCATGCCGAGCGGGAACGATATATTCGACGAGGAGTCGATCGCCGTGCGATCGAGATGGCGAAACCTCGCCGCCTTCTGGGTACTCGGCCTCTGCAATAATTACGGTTACGTGGTGATGCTTAGCGCCGCGCACGATATCCTCGAGAGCAAATTCGGCACGACGGTAAGTAGATCGAACTGGTTTTCATTGATCTGTTCGGCGAACCGGTAGGTTGAACAGGCTCGCAGAGTTATTACGGGTTCCATTTGGTTTCTTCGGGTCTTGCTTTGTTTCGTTTTGTTTCGCGGTTTTTGGGGGATTGGTGATTGCTCGGTTTGCGGGATTCTGGTATTGCCTTGCCTTGGAATATTGGATTCTAGATGTGGCTGGGTTAACCTTTTGCGCTCGGAAGTTCTTCGATACAAATATTTTAACCCTTTGCACTCGGTTTTTCGCTAGAAGTATTTTCACATTTTCTGACGAGATAGACACGATATTTCATGAAACTAACTCAACGAAAAATCATACATTGAGGAACAGAGCTATTTTGTTTCAATATTTCTCAAATTGATACATTATACGGAGTGTAATATTAAATATCAAATTTTGTAGTTTCATTGTATGAAATCATGTGAGCGAGAGTCGCCTCTCGAGTGCAAGAGTTAAATTGAATTTAGAGGTGAATATTTTTTGGCTCGCACTGTTTGGAGAATAATATTTCGAGCTTGTGTATCGAAGTTTTGTGGTTCACGTTGAGTTTCTTCTCTTTAAGCGATGAGGCAATTCTTGGGGAACTAGTCGTGGCATAAATCACGGGGCACGGGATTAATAGCGGTGAAAAGGAGAAATGAAACGCGACGCCGGCGACGAGGACTATGAACTGTTATTTTTAGTGCCTCGTAGACCCGAACTGGAGTCACGGGGTTATGATTAACGGTACCACACGCGATGCACGGAGAATCCGGTCGGGCGGTTCGGCAAAGGATCGAGGAATCGGTCGACGACTGCGTACGCCGTTTCCGGCCGTGATTCCGTGATCAATGGACGAATCACGATCGTGTTGTTACGCGTCGGTAGCTTCTTTCTTAGTCACTACGAGTATTCTGCGTATGTATCCTTGCATACTTGAATAATGAGGCTCTAACGACAAGCATAAAGAGACCTTATGCAAAATTAGTGTTAGTTCGATGCATCGTATTTACTACACATGTAACTTCACTATACTTGTGCAACGCGAAATTAGTATTCCGATCTTTGATGCATCGTATTTACTACGTATATAACTTTACGAAATTTGTCATTATTTTCAAATATTATTCATTGTCAAATATATACAATTTCTTAATTAACTGTATTATGAATTACGAAAGAATGATATTTATCTATTCATATATCCATGTGTGAGAGATGCATCGTATTTACTACATATATAACTCCACGAAATTTGTCATTATTTTCAAATATTATTCATTATCAAATTTCTTAATTAATTGTATTATGAATTACAAAAGAATGATATTCATCTATTCGTGTGTCCAAGTAGCTATTATTCTAACCAAGACTTTTATCGCGTATCTAGCAAGATACAAGATTGAACAACACCGTAACGATTAGACGCAAGTTAACAAAATTTCCAACGATCGATGATAAGGGCCGCGTTAGATAAAAATAGATACAAGCCGGATTAAAGACGAGTTGCTCAACCGATCGATCGTCGCCAGAAGACGGCCCCCATTATCGTCGATCTATTGTTTACGATTTCAACGTAATCAACGACTCGTTTCCCTCAATTGCCACGGTATCTGTATTTTATCCGACCCGTGATCCCCCATTGTTGGCCACGCTCCTGTTCACCGATGGCTCGCAATCGGCCAATTGCGAAACGATGCGCAATCCACGGAGAAATCATCGGTACGGGAGCTTTCCCTCGTTTTACGCGCGTCGTTTGCATGCGTCGTCGATGTATCACGGTAAAAGAAAGACGATTACGCCTCCGTCGTGATAAGGGTAATCCAAGAAACTCGCAACGCGAAACGGAGGTGTGTTGCGCGCACGTTTCACTCCGAATCAGCGAATCCGCTGAAGCGTGACGGTCACTCCGCTCGCGCCTCAGGGTCGATTCACACTATCAATTTGTTCTCGGTCATCTTCCTTCATTGCCGAAATGACAGGTAATAATAGCGAGCCTAGCTGCTATTTTTGAGAAGAAGTTTCCGTGGAATGTTCTTGGATTAATTAACACTAGAACTGCGTACTATTCGAGACGATCGATTTCGATTGTCTTGTTTCGCAATTATTGGTATTTTAATACATTGCGCGCCTGCCCCGCGATAATGCGGGATTTTTAGTCTATCGTTTAATTGCTAATCCTACGTCTATTGTAAAATTTACAAAATCGAGTTCCTTATCTCTTCCGTAAGTTAGAAATTTCGGTTTGATCGATGTTTAAGAATGTATCAATATAATCATCGACGCTCGCGTTTTTAGTAGCTGACATTTAGCCGGCGTTCGTCTTCAAAGCATTCAATAGTTGAAATGATCTTGAAGATAAATAGTTTCATTTCAATACTATAATGAATTTCTGGCGAAACTTGAAATATTCTATTATAATTTTTATAGAGATTAAATGTCAATCGTATTAAATGCTCGGTAGTTCTAAATACCTATATTAATAATCAATTGTGATTAGTATGAATAATATTGTAATATTAGTGTTCAAATCAACCATTTCACTAAAATTTCTCTCCGAGAACTCAATAGAAGTTAGATCGCTATTATGTCAAGCTACTTTATTTTTTATACAAGGATCGAGATTCGTAGTGTGAATCTACGCATTACGGACAATTGAATGAAGATCCGATCGAACCGAGAGGTTACCGATAGTGTGGATCGCCCTTTACTCGGCATCCGTATAGGCCCGATGAATCACCGACTCATCCGACCGTATTACAAAACGAGTGATTAGGACCCTCGTATCGATTGAATTCTTGCCGTCAAGTGACGACGCTGCTCCGGTTGCCGATTGGAATGCATGGGGCAATGGAACAGCGCGTTTGACCCTTGGACGGCGCCGAGTGGGTTTATTTTCACGTAGACTCGCAATAGTTCCCGTTCAATCTAATGTGTCGGTCTGTAGCTGCTCCGTGGACTTTCGAAATATATACTTATCTTATCTGCAGTAACCGGGAGATGTTTGTTGTTATTTATGTGTTCGAGATCGACATTGAGGAATAAAAATCGTTGTTGCATTAGCGTAGATGTTATTTCGATCGACGAACATCGGGAATAAATAAACTGGTGAGATGAGAAAAATTGTAAGACTGTCTGCATTGCTTTCGTAATAATATTTAATAATTATCATTAACTTCGGTAAAAAGTTTCACGTTTTTTGGAGAGATCTATTTTTGTATTCATTTAAAAAGACGCTTTATGATTGGAATAAAGTTGACCAAGGGTTAAACGTGATCTACTCTGACTCATGCCGATCGAAAGAAAACACGAATAGCAGTATCTGTGACTCCGATTGTTCGGAATTTGATACGTTCATCAAACATGCTTACTCTTCCTTCGATAATATTAAAAAAACATCGAATCCCGAGTCGCCGTTCGTTCTTCTTTTTGAAGCAGAATACATTACAGTTCATTATACTTACACGATTTCTTGGCTCCCAGTCATAACCGTCAAATTATGCACCTTCGGTTCCATTTTTAAACGACGATTGCACGTAACATGCAACCTTTGATAAGAACTCGAAACGTTCGAGCTACTGAAGTTGTTGCAATTCATTTCGCTACGAGGTACATATGGCTAATTTTTTAGTAATACTCACTTTAGTTATGAAACAATGAAACACTGTTAAAATTCAAAGACACCGATAGAATCTTTAACTTAGTAAAATAGAATAATATGTATACTTACAAAATTGTTCGATATTCTACAAAATGGAAGAACACAGAATTCTTTACGAATTATCTGGAAAATACTCTCTTCACATACGAAACATTGTCAAAATCCAAAAAAACCACCGACAGAGTTTCCAACGTAATAAAATAGAAACTACATTTACTCACAAAATTGTTCAATATTCTACAAAATATAAGAGCATAGGGTTCTTTATAATCCAGCATTTCACTGTTAAGGGTTAAGCTCCATAAACGAGTAAACGACTCGCCTAATCGTTGTTCGAGAAGCAATTGATTCTAATCCTTCGCGGCGATGAAACATCGCTGATTAATTAACTGTAGCGCGGTATCGCGGTCTGCTTTGCGATTGAACCTCCGCTCGCGAGCAAACCGGAGACAGCCGAGATGGGAGAGAAGTCGTTAGCGCGGCGAGCAATTACGCTGAATTATGCTCTCCGGAGGAGAACAGAATCTGTTGTGTTGGAATTTTTGTTATGTCATCGACAAATCTATGCGATTCACATTGTATAATCGAGATCCTCCTCCTCCGCCCCCTCCGCCCCGCCGTCGAGGCGATGCGTCCCGCTTACGTAAGCGCGAGCGTTCAGCCGCGGAAATTAATATACTCGCCGTTCAAGGCGGTATTGTCCGTGAAAAAAAGGAATAGAGATAGCGGCGTCAATAGCTTCCACGGCGAAACAAATGATGGGAATATTATAATGGCCGAAGCTGATTTTCCGGCTTGCGTAACGCGCAAAAGCTTGAGGAAAGAGAATGCATAGATTATCGACGGTAGGATAATCGTGAATAATTCGATCACATTCTTATAAATCTTTAACGCTGAACGTACTAGTCAAATGACTGCTGTTAAAACTTGATGAAATTGATTGACTTGATTTGATTGAAACAAAACTGTCTATCAATTTTTATATTGTCCGATTAATCAGTTTGTCAGTGCTTCTTTCCTCTTATTTAAGTTTCCAGAAAATTGCTCCAGTTTGTTTACCTTTTCTTCAACTAATTATTTAGCTGGTTAGAATCAGAATAGTTATATACAAAGTGCTGGTACGTCTAGTGTTAAGCGTATTGACAGTTCGTAAGTTAATTACGGTGTAATAATTTTCGATACAGCAGAATGTATAATAGACTGATTCACTTATATAGGAATTTTAGAATGTTTGAAATTCCCCGACAATATTTTTCATTACAAGCATTCATTATCTTCTGACGAAATATTAACAATATCATTTGCAACCTACATAAAGAAACATCTTGCATAAATTATGGGGCAGAGTTGTTTTATCTCTGTTTCACTTGTTAATACCTGATTCAACATTTTATATTGAATTTTTCAGTTTATAATTTTGTTGCGTTCAATCAAATGTCGCTCCTCGAGTGCAAAGGGTTAATTCATTTGACAATATTAACTCGTGACTTCTTATGATCGAGTTAATCTTAGTTTCAATAATTCTGCTTTCCTCGTTTCTTTCGTGTCTCTTTTAATCCCCTGTGTGTTCAGGATACCAGCGCAACTTCCAGCAACGTGACGACGAACACCACCGGGGTCCGTTCCTGCAACACGCTCTCCACCGGCGCCATCTTGCTGGCGGACATCTTGCCCTCGCTCGCGGTCAAGATTGTCACGCCGTTCCTCCCGTTTTACGTGCAGTGAGTATCCGTCTCTTTCTCCACCTATCTTGTACGCTCATTAATCGTGGCATCTACTCGTGAACATGCTTCCGCGTGAAGTGCTCTCGCCAGATGAAAAGCCAGCGAGCACTGCAGGCAGGACGGAGGCACAGGTCCCCGCGCCGGCGAAATGGATCTCATCGATCGAATCGCGAAAACTGGGCCGCCGGCTTTTTCTATTCGCGCGTCGCCCGCGAGTCGATGCATTTTAATCTTATCCTGGTTTTCGACTGCAAACGTCGAACGGTTATCTTATCGATCGACTTCCAATGGTTATCGCCGCGTCTCTATGGACACAGGTTTTAACCCTTTGCGGACGAAGATACCGTGAAATATACAAAGTCTTTAACAAATGAAGTTAAATTAAACATCGATTAATTAATAGAAAGAAAGGGAACGACGAGATGATCTCTTGCTGTCGAAGTAATTAAATCATTTCTCTGCGACTTAGTCTTTCAAATATGAACACTCCTCTCCGAAGTGTCGACATTCGTCCGCAAAGGGTTAATCAGAACCGTAACACATGGTAATCCAGTGTACAATGAGAATTTCATTTTCTACCTTTTGAAGCTACTGTGGTGGTATTGGACTGCTACATAAATATATGTTAATTATTGAAATTGATTTAACGAGGAACACTGCAAACGCAACAATCAAATATTCATAATTATAAGGAATTAAAAGCTAAGATCATTTGGTAATGTCATTGCATAAGTTTAATCGCATGAATCAACTGTCAGTGTGAAGTCTGTTTTCCAAGCGAATTGGTCCGCGCTGTGTAATCGTGTAAAAATAGTGGCTACTGGATCGCTTCTGATACAACGCGGAAAACAAAATTTATATAAGCTGAAATTCGTCTAGTGGCCTCTTCTACTTTCGAAGATTAATTGAACAGCTGTTTTGATTTGAGCTGCTTGGATTACGATGTGTTACTGATTATGATACATTAATCTGATACGATTCACGATTAGAATTCCTATCTACAATGTAGCGTGTTAAATAGGAAAATTAAATGGACTACGATCGTCGCGATCAGATCATCGGGAAACGTGATTCGGTTATCACAAATATCAGAGGAAACGTTCGATGCTTCCATTTTCGTGCTGTTAGTTCGAACGAGAACATCCGAACGAACGAAGCGGAGAAAAACAATTCGATCATTCTCCCTCGTCCTCTCGTTCTGCGCAATTCGCTGCCAAATTTTGTCACCTTCCCAGAACTCCGCTCGGGCAATAAAGCCATTACACAATCAATCATCGCGTCACTCATTACGAGCTGCACTCTGGTTCCCGTTATCGCGTCGTCATACATTCCTACGCTGTGTGACGCGCCATTTTGCTTCCCCAGCTTTTTCGTAATTCACAACACAAGGAACCCGAATCACGCGACTAATCATCCGTATCTCATGATCATTGCAATATCTTTGTTACGTAATAATTGTACACAAATATTTCTAATTTTACAGTTCATACAATGTCCGTATAGGCAAGCAGCAACCAGAGACTACTTCAATCCTTAACGCTATAAATTGTCCATTATTGCCTTCGCTCGAGATATAAAATAAAAGAAATGTCACGCGGATCGAGGATATTTCGATGTAAACGCTCGACGAGGAAACCTTGATCGAAACTCGGTTCCCGGAATCCGAGCTCGCGCGTTTCTCGGCGTTCGCACCGTTGAAAAAAAAAGATCGGGGGAAAAAAAGGAACGCTCGGACGAACGGCGAACGAGCGCAGGGCGACAGAGTAGGTAAATTCACGGATCACTTTTCCGCTTCGTTTGTTAACACATTGGCCGAGGTGTCCTTGTTCCCCGTCGCGTCGTTTTTCAGTGTGCTCTGCGCACACACGCCGGTGACGCCACCCGTTGCAATGGAAACAGAAGTCTTATTCATCAATGGAACTGACCGGCAGTCAACGTGTTAAAATATTCCTGTTGAAACTAAAATTACGAGCGTGCAGGCGTAACTTTCCGTTCGCGTTTTCCTCGTTCCCGCGCCCGCCGCCTTTCGCCCGGTACGCGAGAGCCGATCGCGGGGAGCCGGTAGATCGGTGTCGCGATCACATTTTCACGAATGCTCCCGTGAACGTTGCCCTAGGTGTTGGGCACTACGACGTTTCGGGAGGCGGATCATCCACAACCGGGATCGGTGTCCCTGCGCGGGCACGTCGCGCTCCCATACCGTGAACGAAGAACGCTAATCGATTATTCGAATCGTTAATTACAGTGCTCGACTGGCTACCTGTGTGTTATTTTCCGCTGCAGGATTCCTTGTGGTGTCGTTGAGCACTACTGAATGGCTCGCCATATTGGGCGTCGTCGTAACGTCACTATCTTCCGGTTTGGGAGAAGTTACTCTGCTGAGCTACAGCCACCAGTATCCGAAGTAAGTGCACCCCTCTGACCCGACTTCGATTTATGCTCTATCGCTACCACTCGCGAGCGGTATGTAGAATCACCTCGGGAAGTAAGTTAAATTTTCTGAATATGGGGAGGTTTAGGAAAATGATATTCGCATGTTTCGATTGAGGATTTAACACTTGGGTGACCGCCTGAAAGAAACTATAACTACAACCTCCCCTATTATCTTCAATTGAAATCATTCAATTAATTCGGTTGGAAACTGTCTTTTGTAGAAACAAGAACCGTATTTCATGAATTGCAAGTAATCCCAGTTCAAGACTTAGTAAATAACGAAAGAAAAGATAGACAGAATAAAAGGCAATTTGCTAAGTGAAAAGTGGGATCATTCGATTTGTCTTAGCGACGTCTTAGAGAAACATTTTGAAATTTGTTTTTAAACTTCACGAACGCAACTGCTGGGGAAATTGATAAACAGAAGATAGCGGTTTGTAGTGGATAGATTAGGAATATTTGAATTGAAGAACACTGGATTTCGTTTATCAGCGATCGCCGGCCGGCGTAATTTGTCGAAGACAAACGCCGCTAAAGTGCGAGATAAGATTGAAGGGAAATATCTGATAGCGACAGCGGAGAGAAAAGAGGAAAATTTAGATTCCGTCTAATTTAGATTCCATGTTCATTCTACTCGCGTCGCGTGTGTCGCAAGAGGCCATTATTCGATCGTTAACTTATTTCCCGAGGCAACCGTGCGTTCTCACGATTCTCTCTTTCCTTTTCTTTATCGATGTTCATCGCGCGCAGGCGAGTTTCTCTTTTTTTTTCTTTCTTTATCCGTTGATTCGTCGTCGGAGCACCAGCTTCGTTCGAGAAATTCCGGAGGATTAGTTTTCAGCCAACACTTCAGAGACACTCCCCCCTCGATTCTCATCCTCGCTTGAAATCCGAATTTCATTCGACGAGCAGATGATTAATCGATTCACTGTCTGATCGTAGCGGCGCTCGTGGATCGCTGGTCCGCTGATCAGAGCGAACGTGTCTAAATGACGAGTAAACGAGAAATAACGAACGACACGTTGACAGAAAACACGAACGAGAGCTGAGAATAATAACTATGCGAGAGATTACGATTCAAAGTGTGTTGACACAGGTATAATCGAGTATCGTCGTCGACGCATGTAGTCGCAATATTGACAGTTCAGACAGTTGCTCCAGAAACGTAGCGATAAGATAATGACAGGAGTTGACCTTCGAATGTTTAAATGTAGGAAAACATACGCCACTGTTCTAGAACCGGCACGAAAATAAGGTTAAAAGATGAATAGAGTTACAGTTTATAATACAGTGCGGGATTCCGAAAGAATCTCGTTGCGAGCACGAGGTACGTCCGTACTTATGTGTAATAACTGTTAATCACTATTTATACATTAGTCACCCTTCCCCTCCGTCTATCCGTTGGTCTTCGCTAACGATTAACTTAGCCGCGACAACGATTTCATCGAGAAAAATCGACTTCAGCGTAGACCAAGCGACGATAATCGCGCGAGGATTCGTCGTCGGGTCATTTGTTTGTTTCTCGACTTTTTCGTTGCGTTCCCTCGGTTAATTAATAGCCTGATAGATTGCGCGTCGAACTTCGTCCCCGTTTCAACCGATCAATTGAACCGCGTGCCATGGTTGCTCGATAATTGAGAGCGGTTAATTGTTTCGCAGACAAGTAATCGCGACATGGTCTTCCGGTACCGGAGGCGCCGGAATAATTGGCGCGCTCTCTTACGCCGCCCTCACCACGTGGTTGAGCAACGAAGACACGCTGTTACTTATGTTAATCGTACCGATCATACAAGGGATCACGTTCTGGCTGGTCCTCGTGCACCCAAGACAGTCGACTATACCGATCACCAAGAACGGCATCGACAGCCAGGAGCAAATCATCGAGGTCCAGAGGAAGAGCTTCAAGGAAAAGATCAATCTGGTACCGGGCCTGCTGAAGTACATGATCCCACTGGGGCTCGTGTACCTCTTCGAATATTTTATTAACCAAGGATTGGTAATGCACTCTTTTCCACACGCTTTTATAGAATCTTTCGCCTTCTTTTTCGAACATTTTAGATGAAACACTCGAAGAAGGTAGTTCGCGTATTGTGTACATAATTGTTAGTTGGAACTTGTTTGATAGAAATGATGTATTTCCTTTGTGGACGAAGATTATTATATTATATCGATTATATCGATTGCTTTAACACATTGCGTACCGGCTAATTATCAGAAAATTAAATTGTGCGGATTTTCAGTGAGACTTATATCACTATCTATTAAAAAAGCTCAGGTACCATATTGTTATGTAATATATTTTAAGTGGACAATTAGTTCAAATCAAATTTAATATTTCCTTAAATGCTGTGGTAATTATCCAAGTTATATACCTAAGAGTCTTTTGTGTTAATAGAAAAAAGGAAAACGTGTAGATCTCTTGCTGTTTGAGTAATTCAGTACCGACATTCGTCCGCAAAGGGTTAACATCAATGATCTTGTCGATATTCAGACAATACTTAAGAAAGAAAGAAAATCCATAGATTCTTAAAGGCTAATCAGTTCGAAGAATTTTAAAGACGCCTCACATTTTCTTGTCGAACATTGGAGATTCGCGTAGAACTTACATAATTTCTGGTTAATTACACAAGATTGAACAGACGCGAATGTCCTTCGAGAAGTATTTACCCACGTTGTTTCGTCTGAAATGATCGCGCCTATATCGTGTCTTTTTATTTTCTTATTTGACGATCGTTTCTCGAATATTGCTTTGATCGAAAGATATCTTGTCGCGGGTATATATAATTAATCACATTCCTGACGAGCAACGTTTTCATCGTTCTGTGTGTAAACAATGTACAGTACGAGTTGATCCAGTTTGATGGGATTTGGTTGTTGCACGCTGAGCAGTATCGCTGGCTCCAAGTGGATTATCAGATAGGAGTGTTTATATCCAGATCGTCTGTCAATCTCGTCACGATTAACAAAATCTGGATCATGGCTGTTCTTCAGGTACGATTTTCCCCGAGTGCATACGATTTACCCGACCGACCGCGTGATCGACATACGATCGATCCCCCTCTTCCCTCGGCGAACGCATAGTTTAATAACGCTCTGGTTCTGTTACAGTTTATCAACGTCATCATTCTCCTATTCGAGGCGTTGTATTATTACATCCCGAGCATTTGGATCGTGTTCGCATTCGTCTTGTGGGAAGGCCTGCTCGGCGGTGGAGCGTACGTCAACACGTTCTACCGAATGTCCACCGAGGTAACGCGACGTTCCTTCGGAAAACGATTTATAAATCATTTCCTCCATAATTCATTATTCATATGAAAATCAGTCGAATGAATTCTTTCCCTAATCGAATAATTCGCCCGGAAGTCATTCTGCAAATCTGCAACAGGATTCAATGATTAACATATCTCCTATCCATCGTTCTCCATTTTCCAGGAATTGAACTTGGAGCAACTTAATTTTCAACTCTAACGATCGCTTCATCCTTACCATTACATGCAACACTTTCTAAACGTTCTCGTGTTTTAGCCTTAGAGTACTTGATTACTTCTATATCTACAATGTTTCATCAAATTTTTAAACTCCTCATCTCGAAGTCAACAAATTTAGCAAATGAGGGGCGCGTTTATTTTATCGTGTTAATTTCACTAAAGAGCAAGGGATTAACCCTTTGCGGACGAAGATGCTTCAAAGTACACGAAACCTTCAGCAGATTAGGCCAAATTGTATCTCGTATGCTTAAACAATAGAGAAAAAGCAAACTATGCACTGATCCCTTGCTGTCTGAGTTACTAAATCATTTCGAAATATGAAAGTTTGATCTCAAAACGTCGACATTCGTCCGCAAAGGGTTAATCGAACTTCCATCGTTCGAATTAGTTTCTCCAAAGATTAAAACGCACGTGTACATTACAGATTCCACGAGCGGATCGCAAGATCTCGCTAGGCATCGCCACGATGGCGGACTCGATCGGTATCGCGTTGGCGGGATGGATGTCGATGCCGGTGCACAATGCGATCTGCAGGATGCCACAGCCGACACGGCTGGGCAGCTAGGACCCGTTGGGACAGCATTTCGACAACGATCATGCGACCAAGCAAGACCGCGAAACGCTCCGCCGTGAAACCGTTCGATATTTATTGCCGAGTCGTGCTCCACGCGCGATCCGCGGCCACGTGATATGCGTAGAGCTGATAACCGGGTATAAGTTAACGTCGTCTCTAACCGTTTTAGTACAATAGACTCGATCGCGTAGCGCACGGTCGCCGACATCGTGATAATCCGCTTGATACCTCTGTCACGCTGACTTCTATCGAGTTGATGCGAAAATCTTGACGCCATTTGTACGCGGTTAAAACTGTTTCCCTCCGGAACGAGTAACATCTGTTTTCAAAATATTGTAACGTGTACAGGACACTCTCTTCGTTTTTGCTTAGTTTTTCTAAGAATAGTTGGCAACTCTTTTATTTCTCATAATAAACTGTCAAAGCTTTTGCATCAACTTGATGTTTTATCGACGCCGGGACAGCAAGAGACGACGAAGCGCGATCGTCGTTATAGAAGGAAACGATACATCGGGAAGCAATGATCGACGGGGACGGTGTCGGTGCGACGAAATTCTCGTTGGCGTCGTTCGAACCGGGACCACGGACGATCTTACAAGTAATGGAGGGAACGACGAATATACACGATTCACCGATGTTCCTGCGAATGAAATTCTAACCGGTAGATCGTTAGTCTCCATTGTTCCGACTAGGAACGGGATATGTATGGAGCGGTAGCTTTGATCACCTGAAATGTCTTTATTTTCAGAGACGTGGGAGAATGTTTGCGAAAGTTGCGTGGTACTGGAATCGTTGCGATCGTTGAAATATCTACGTTAACGATGAAAATGTAGATTGCGAAAGGTCATTCTGAAAATTCCGATAATCCGCTGGAAAAATATTGCTAGGATTTAATGTCCTTGGTACCATACAACTTACAAAATGAATGTTTCCTCATATCTCCAACAACAATGCAAATATTTCGGACGATCGGTTACTGCTCTAGATTGTGAACATATACAGGGTGAGTCTCGAGATGCAACACCGATGTTTTAAAACTACCGAGCACTTAAATTGATCTTTTGAAACTTCTCTATAGAAATAACAAGAGAAACATCTGTTCTTTTAATAATTGCAAAAGAAATCAGAGATAGGTTATTTTCACCTATAATTTTGGTGTCAATATTCAATTCAAGATCACTTGACAGCTATAGCATACTAAATAAAACCACATTGTAAATTCTTCGACTGTGCGCCGTTTCTCTCGACTCACTCCGTATACCAGCAACAAAATTGTCGCGTCTTTTTGTTAGTTACGTTCGTCCCGACGGCAGAGCTCGAGCCAGTCGACGAACAGTGTCCGACAGACGGAGGTCCGATCCGGTTTCTCTGTCGTGTCCGCGAGCTTGATTTCACGCGTCGATGTGAGTGCGAGAGTATGTGCGTGTGTGTGTCTGTATGCGCATCAACGACGGGCCAACGGGTTTCTGGCTATGGTTGCGTTCGTGCACACGCGTTTTATATTCCTTACGTATTCGTTAGCTGTTAGACTTTAACGTCGTCGCGTCATCGCTGGTTCAGCGATACGAACGACACCAGTATTCCTAGATAGAGTAGCGTCGATCCGCTCGCGTTGCAGGTGCATTCGACAGAACGAGTTCGATCGCTCGATATTCCGAACTCTTGAACTCCGAACTCGACTTCATTTGTCATCTCCGAAATTACAGAAGAAGCTGCGGACGCATCTGGTTCGGTGTTTCACGCCGAAGAATCCGTTGCGTTAATGATAATCACAGGCATGCATTTCTTTCCGACAGTTCTCTTTATTTTATAAATCTCATACGATCGACAATGAAAGGAAATTCGTATCTTTGGCTCGAACGATCTCTCGTTCGACGAGTTCGATGCTGTTTCTTAGAGTAGACAAGCGTTGCAGGTTGCTTGAAGGTTCTCCCTCGCGTGAGGTTTCAAGTCTTGTGTCATTTTCGTAGATTAATTAGCCCGAACGTGTGAAACGTGAAACATTCCTCGCCGAGAAATAGCAGGAGCACGCGCGGAGTATGACGATCGAGTCGCGAGAGAAACAGGAGGACCGAGACGAGGAGAGAAACGAGCAACGATCGCGCGTCTCGTTCGAACGATTCTCCGACGGCTGTGGAGGTCCTGTTTACCCCCCTCTCTCTCTCTCTCTCTCTCTCTCTCTCTTTCTGTCAAAATAGCTCGCCTCTTCTTTCCGAATGCGTATTGTATAATTGTGATATACCGATAATACTGTTTCCTACAATTATTGCAATATATTTTATGCCAGATACTATATCGTTTACTACGCCATAATATATTATCGTCGTTGTGGAATTGAAATTGTATCGCGCTCCCGATCCGCGTTCGGGGACGATCGCGTCGCGGTCACCGATTTCGGTTCCTTTGTTCTTCCGTTTCACTCCCGTCTTTACTGTCGTCGAACCAACGAACGACATTGCAGCGCGCGAGAACGAACGAACGAATCGGAAACATTGCGCACACGTTTGTAACAGCTGCAGCGACCACGTTCGAGAAAATAAAATCGTTGAAATTCCGTTTTTCAATGCGCTGCGCATCTTTCGCACCCGCTGCGCGCTTCATTGGCGCCCGACATCGAAACCAAGGTCAACGTTAAACGCAAGCGAACGACCAATGGAATGTCCTTCGAGCAGTTAGGAACTCTGTTTCGCTCTTTCCTTCTTCTTCCTTTTTCGCGTTTCTTAACAATTCTACTCGCACGCGGACCAACTAAACATCTCGCATTTTCACCCCGAATACACTCTTAATCATCCTTTCACACCTACGCGAACTACAACCACAAATCCCAGGAGAATTAGACTCGCGAATTTCTTTAAACGCACGCTCCTCTTCGTAATTATTCGGAACACGTGCTCCTCGTGGATTACAGACTTGCTACGTCGCTTGGCTAACGCAGTCTACGTTTCAATATTACACAGAGAATGTTTATTTAAAGACGACGCCTTAATAATACCATACGGTACCACCAAACAGTCGTTTGCTGGACAAAACTCGGTAACTTAGAAAGTATAAGTGATAGGAAGAAATGCTTCATACAAAAGTTGTATGAAGAGTGGTCATACTTGTTTTTACAGTATATAGTTCTTATGAAGATTTTTCAATAACAATAGATATTTCACGTGTCGATTCAAACAAAACTGTTATTTACCAAATGAAACTTCTTTTGTTGCAAAGATCACTTAGTAACACATTGGTAACTTTCAATTTTCGTTACGTGAATCGAATTTCTGAGATCTGTCCACAAGCGACCACACTGTGGCAGTTCAATTAGGCTTTAATTAGAACCTTATCCTTAGACCAGCTCACGAAGTCACAGAAAAATCTATTTCGTCTATACTTCACTCCGTTAACCTAAAAGTAAAGAGAACTAACTAATAGTGCGACCTGCGATCTACAATATTTCCTCCTCACGTCCTAACATTCACGAAGAAGAGCGCAAACAACTGAACCGCCAGTTTCCTCTGCGAGTGTCCCTAAACATTTACAAAATCGTTTGATATCAGTCGCTCATATTGTCTCGTGTCGACGCTCGCGTTCCGTGGACTCGCCTCAAAACCGAAATGATTGGACACCGACGTCTGGGGGCACGGATACGGCGGGCTCTTTCCTCGTTTTGTATATTAATCAAAAATAACTACGTGTGATTTTGATTGACCTCGCACGCGATCACGCGCACCGCTCGAGAATCAGCTTCCCGGACTCCTCGTACTCTTGCCGTGACAGCCACATCTGCTGGAAGGATCCCAGCGAGCTTAGAATCGAACCACCGATCCAAGCACCGTACCGACGCTCGCTCGAACTGTTCGCGCTAATTATTTTCAGTCTCATACTCTGCGGAATGCAACGGTGATCAGTCACTTCGTCGTAGCGTATCAATGATTTCTTTAACCCATTGCACTCGAGAGGTGACTCTTGATTTGACGCAGTAAAATTAGAAAATTTAATATTTAATATTGAACTATGTATAATCGGATAAAATATTCGGATAAAAAAGCGTTGTTTCTCAATTTACCTGTGATTTCTCTTTGAATTCATTTAAAAACCATTGTCTTTGTCTAGTTAGAAAATGTTAAGTATTAACTACTTTCGAGTGTAAAGGGTTAACACTTTTTGACAAGACATTCCTTGAAACTTGAAGGGAAATCACAATATTGAGGAACAGAGATATTTTATTCCAATATTTCAGGCATTATACAAAGTTCAACATTAAATATCAGATTTTATAGTTTTACCCTGTCAAATCAAATATACATAAAGGAACATCTTGCATAAATTATGAGGCAGAACTGTTTTATTTCTGTTTCGTGTTAATACTTTATTCAATATTTTATCTCGAGTTTTTCATTCTATAATTTTGCTGCCTTTCCGAGTGCAAACGGTTAGTGTTAGTGGAACACTTACCGGAGGAGTTTTGCTGGCTAGGTCACGGTTCAGTCTTTCGCTAAAACCTTGCAGGCAGGAGTTGCCACCGGTAACCACCACGCTCCCGTACAGGCTCTGAAACGAATTAGTTATTTGGTTTTTATCTGTTTTCAAATGTCCTTTACCTCTTCTATGCGGATTACGCGAGAACTATTAACCCTTTGCACTCGAGAGGCACTCTCAATCGCAGCAAAATTATAGAATGAAATATTCAAGATAAAACATTGAATAAAGTATTAACACGAAACAGAAATAAAACAACTCTGTCCCATAATTTATGTAAGATGTTCCTTTACGTAAGTTGCAAATAATATTAATATTTCGTCAGAAAATAATGAATGTAATGAATACTGTCGAGCGCAAAGGGTTACATGTTTACATCTAGAGTACATTATAATATACTCCAACTCGAAGAGATTCAAGATATTCATCTATTACTCGACACCTTGGACCAAGGATAATTTGGAAATCTTTTAGTGGACATAAGTATATTTCATATATTACCTCTATATCGAAATTCTATCTCCAGTCATCTAGTCTCCTTTCCACTCTCTTAATTCCAAATAAATTCTCTTTCGTTCTTAGAACGAATGGAGAATAGGAGAATAAAGATGAACTAACTTTCGCACGGAGAATAAAGATGAACCAACAATGAAAGATAAAAGTGGTGATTCGGGACGAGCGGGAGGAACTCACCGGTCGGATATCCATGTCGCACATGCCCACACTGGTCGTGACGAGCGGTCCGACGCCGAGGATGCTGGCGCCGACGCCTTTCACGTTGCTAGGATCGAACAAGGCTTCGGGGATCATTAACCTGACAGACCCGAAGTCGTCGTTGTAGCCGGTCGGGAACTCGTAGTGCTTCATTGGCAAGGTGTTGGCCACGTCTTCGTCGTACGGGCTGTCCGAGACTTGGAGCACGTTCATTTGGAAGTCTTGCAACAGCTCGCGGACCATGTAGCTCAGCCAAGAAGACGACGGCTGGGGACCGGCTCTTCTGACCCAACGGGGCGGTTCTCTTTCCCGAACTATATCTGTAGAATTGATCGACTTGTTATTTATCTTCGACGAATTTCATCGAAATCGCAATTGAATCTTAACACATTGAGCGCCGGCGACCTAAGAGACATTTAAAGCCCAAACGTCGGCCTCATTCGCTTGTATCTGATCAATGAGTAGCCGAAAAACATATTCAACACATTATACATTTTCGTAAAATACATTTTAATTGTATATTCGTCATCCAGAAATGGAAATCCAGAAATCCGCATTATTCTGGGGCCGGCGCTCAATGTGTTAAATTGTAACCAATGACATGACACTAGTATAGTAACAGTAGCTAAAATTAGCAGGTGTTGCTTCAGAAAATGTTTAGCCTCTGCTTTGAAATTTTTGTATCTTTTTCATAAATTGATGGCTACTGACATTAAGCTTAAGGATTATGTCGTACAAGTATAAAGAAAGAATTAAACAAGAAAGGACTCGTATTAAATGTGATCGATATCAAGTGAAAACTGAGGGTGTATTCATAAAAATGAGTTGCATCTGATTTAAAATGTTCAGTTTAAATGTGAAATCTTCCATCGAAATCGTAACTGAATCTTAAATTATAACCAATAACATGATATTAATACAGTAATGATTATCCTATCCATAAAAATAAGTTGCAGCGATCAGATTTGGAATGTTCAGCTTACAAGTTTGAGCTCTCCCCATTTTGAAATTTGAAATTTCCCCATTTTCTGCGTGGAAATCAAAGCTCGCCTTATTGTTATTGGACGTATGATATAATTCAATTGGCGCAGTCGTTAGAGACGTTAAACATTGAGTTCAATTGACGCGGCAGAAAAGGGAATGTTTAGCGCTGCAGAGAAACCGAGCAGTTCATTGAGATACAAAGAGGGCAGTTAGTCCTTGTCAGCGGGAATTTTGAACGATGAACGCGCGCTGTGTGCAGAGCACTTGACACGTAATATGTTGATTGCTCGCATTGAACGTCCGCGCGGCCACGCCGCACGCGCTCGACACTTTTATTGAACGCTGTTACGAGCACTTACGCCGCTGAATGGCTCCGCGAGTATTTAGGTCCCGGCGTTTTTCTAAACTAAACGGCCCCGTCAAAAGCTTCGACTATTTTTAGGCGCGCTTTGTCTGTCGGTTGTGTTGAGGTCACGCTTATTACTGCGGCGACGAGAACCGATCGTTCCAATATTCTCTGTTTACTGTGTGATTCGGTGACTCGCACGTGTTTCGCAATTTTCGATCCCTATACGTCGGTCGTACCATTCGAAAAGTTGGATTTCAAACCAAAGCGGTATCAATTTTCTCTCTCTATCGACTTAACAAGAAGTTTTCGTATAGCTTTCACAGCTAACGTGCTAATTTGTAAGTTTAAATAGTTCTCTTCGAAATTCGTTTCTTTAAATTGAAGATCACAATAGCAAAAACAAACTGCACGATAACTCTTGTCCTAGTATTTAATCATATGACTGAGTCTTCCAAATATGAACGTTCCATCTCGCCGAAATATCGACACTCGTCCGCGAAGGGTTAAGGCTTCTCGAGCAGTGTTTTCGGTAAAGAAGATTAAGGGATTGCCTTTGCTAGCGACCAAGCAGGCGGGTGACAGCTCGATGTCCTTCTCCTCGAAGAATTGCCTGCATTGCATGGTGATGAAGTCACCGCCCAAGGGACTCTTCACGATTCCTTGAGTGATCACGTAGCCGTCGTGCACGGGGACCGCGCTCGTGTGCGTCGCGCCGCTGTCGACCACCATGGCTGTCGATCTGCCGTTCGCGTAGGCCGCCAATACAGCGTTCTTGCAGATGTACATGGCAGGAACGTTGAACTTCTCGAACATCAGCTCCAGCAGCTTCTCCCGTTTCAGTCTCGTGTTCCATGGGCACTCGGTCATTAAGATCGGATGGTGTTCCGGGAGCGCGTGCAGCCGTTGTTTATAGGTGTACTCCGTCAGCCGCTCGAACATGTCCCAACCCTCGATCATACCGTCTTGCATCAGGCTGATCAAATCCATATCTGGGGAGAAGAGAATCGTTCCTTTACATCGTTGCTACGTACAAATCAGATGACGCGTTTGTGTCAAGCTGTAACTACATGACACGAGCATATCGCTCTTATATTCAACAAAACAATGAAATCAATTTCAAAGTTCTGTAAATATTCGAAAACGAAGTTCGAAGCTTGCTAAACACAGTCGTCTCTACTCTTATAGTAGATTTTACAAAACTGTCGTCATTCACTGTTATGCACAAAAACCCTGTCAAAAGCGCACTTCCTGCAACCTGTTCTGCAGTCCATATCCAGACTACGAACTCCGCAATCTTAGAAATAACAAATAGCCTCCATCTGTAAAATCTGTGAGATCAGTTTGTTTACATACACCTGAATACACCGGAACTGTTGTCTATAAACAATCATCGTCCCTGACTTAACCCCTTGCCTTACGATTTTCTCAACTGTGATCAATAACTCTCAATAATGTATTGGGAAAAGAGAAAAATTGTATGCACTCTACCTCCAACTTTGCTCTAAAGTATAATAACTGACAACGGAAACAATGTCATATATCTTCACAAAACTCGAAAATTTTTGCTGAATTCTGAAAATCTTCATTATAATTCTCGCACGTTATCGTAAGCCAAGGGGTTAACACTAGGTTTACGCGTCAAATTGACGCACATTGGATTCTAGAAATATTATTTCGTAAATGTTTACGCCGACTTTGATCGATGCGATCACACTGACATGTACCCCAATTACCTACTATCGAACCTCCAGTTTCCACGATCTAAATAAACGAGCGTCAATTCTTTCCGGAATAATAGAATGAAGACAATAAATGCCCGTAAACCTAGTGTTAATAGTAAATCAACGAGCATACCCTTCTTCCGCACTTGGATCGCCGTGACGTCGATGTTGTAGTGTTTCCTGACGGTCTGATTGCCGTCCGGCGTTTCGATGGTGTCCTCCCATATTCCGAGGGTGGTCGGGATTTCAGCCTTCGGCGTGTCCTCACCGCCATAACCAACGCGGAGGCTCTGGTGTCCAACGTCGAAAATAATAGCACCGACCTCGTCTGCGGGCAGATCGATTCGTTTAACGAACACGCCGGCCGGTTCGCCACGTTTTTTACGTGAAAAACGGGGACCGCGTTGCACATACCTCCGCCGTAGACACCACCGCTCATAGTATCTGAGAGCAGAGCGGCGTGCGCGCATGCTCGGCAACCCTCTTCGACCTCACCGGTCCATACCCCTACCATCCTACGAGCCGCGTATCGAGGATTCTGCGACCCTCCGTCGTCCCTCCGTATTGCTCCTTTTGTACATCCGAATCGACGATCGGGAGGAGGACGGAACGCGATCGATCGTTGCATTCGCGGGACGGCACTCGAGGCGCGCCGTGCACCTTTTGTTTCCGGAAACTCGATCCACGGCGTCGGCCAGAAGAATTTCCTTGTAAAAAGAACAAAGAGGAACCTTTCTGGCGACATGCACGACGAACTTCGATTTAATGAATACTTTTCTTTCGTTCTCCGTGGAATTTCGTTCGGTCTCGATCGATACGTGCGTTTAGAAATATAGTCTGAGTCGAAAATTCTGTTCGGTCGAAAATTTAAGAAAACTGTTTGTAATACTATATATTTTATTTAGTACAATTTGCGGGAAATAGTAAGATTAAGCTGTTATTAGATATAGGGAAATGAATGTTTTATATATCTTCGACGAACGTATTTAAAATTCACCGTTATACAAAGCGAGTGAAATGATCATTCGTTGTAGACATCAATGATCTTGCTGCGAGCTCGTCGAGTCATGCACACAGGAGGAGTAATCAGAAGACAGGTGGTTTTCCATTATGGAATTAGTGTTGTATATTTTACAAAGTAAATAGAATATAAACAATCTAAAGTCGTCTAAAACACAATAGTACGAATTTCGTGGTAAATCATTCTTTTTCATATATTATAAAGTATACGATTTGTCAACAGATCGATATCTTTTTTTCTCCGTTTTTTTGTGTCCCGCGGCGTCGCGTGGTGGACCCGGGTTCCGTACATAACGAGGGAGCCGCGGCGGCTCCGAAAATCATCGTCACATTGCCGAGTGAACGACTGATCGATTTTGGCAATTTTTCTCTTTATTCTTTTCTTTTTTTCTTCAGCGAACAATGAACTGATTCGATGGCAACATATGTATAGGTGGGTGCGTTAGCGTTCTCCCGCTCTCCTTCCGTTTCCTCGTAATCCGTTTGCAATTTTATCTCGCACAGAATTCAACGACGCTCGAGTGATTCGTCGAGTTACACTTTCCCGGGTGTTTCGCTTAATCGTGTATTCTCGGATCGGTCCGTCGATCGTTAATCGACGCGCGAGCTCGTGGAACGCGGGGCTTGGGATTTTCGGTTGGGCGACAGGTCTCCGCCATTTTCCTCCTGCATCGTCGTCTCGCGCTTCGGTTGAGGTACACGCAGGTACGTTACACAAGTTTAGCATGTT